AAGATCAGTCTATGATGATGGCTAACTACCACCACGGTGCAACTAGATGATCGATGTTGTATAACTTCGATATATGTATGCTCGAATCTAGCTATTTAATAAGTACCAACCTTTATTTGTATTTGCGTAATGTAATACCCCTACTTTACTCCTTTCCACCGTTTACGTATCGATTGTTTCTTGGACTATATATGAATTGTTTTGTCTTTTTCTATAACCGATGAATTAAATGAAATAAACTTGGATAATATTTTGCCTCATATACTTTAAATTATGATTAGGCCTTTTCTTATATCAGAATTAATTGTCTTAGACGAATCATCAATGTTTTATAAATTTCAACCAGAACATTCGAATCTACAAGTTTTTTTTGTTTTTTTAAAGATTTCATTAGAATTCAATCAGAACGTTCGAATCTAGAATCTTATCGTCCAAAGCTTGAGAATGATTCTGATGCAAATCGAGATTGATATATTGAAAAATGTGAAATCTATGTGGATTCATGAACATTAATTGAGTGCATATGAGGAATTCCGTTAGGCTATATTTTCTCTTAAGTCATACTTATAATAAATTATTTACTTGTTAGGGTTTTATATATACAATGCATGAACATATACGCATAAGGTTCGATTTCTCAAATTTTTGAAGTTGAATGTACGATTATTTTCCTGATAAAGAACGCTATTTTTTCAGTTTAGTTTTTATACAAAAAATTAAGGTTTTTATCCTTCATGTCCCTTATTTTTTACCTTTGTTATATATATATTTTACTAACATATGTGTTCACCGTCAACTTTTTGTTCGTTTATATACCGCGGCATAGAATCTGTTTATTAATAGCTATATGAATCTAGTTTTATAAAAATATCGAAATGACACATTGTGATGTAGGAGATATTGGCGTTTTCCGACTGCGTCACATTGGCGTTTGATCCTGTGCTAACACTTTGATGCAGATATAAAGTCTTCTTAAATAGCGACTAGTATTTACATTTAGATGTTCTAAATCGCTTGAATAGTTGACAACGAAAATGTATATGAATTTGATGTTTCTTTAGTCTTGTCATGACGATCAATCACGACTTTTAAATATAATTGTCTAGATTCCAAATAAATT